GTTTTTCAATTGCAAGTCACCTTTGAAATCGAATAGTTTTTTTTTACTGCGGCCCCTATAATAGGAACCTATCGGCCCCTATAATAGGAACCTATCGACAGTATTGATAATAGCAACTGCCCCGCCTCCATATTCGGAGTGCTTTATTTATACACACACACACACCACACACGCACACATTATATATATGTATATATATAAGGTATCCAGTGCGCGCTAATTGCCTCAAGTGGCATGGGGAAATGTAATAACGGTCTGAAGCCTAATAGCAGTCGTCCGTCCGGTGCTCTAGACTTTGATTCGCATTAACGTCAAGTCAATTAACAATGTTTGATAGGTTTGGCCAATGACCAGGCCAGGCTTGGCCAAGTCAGGGCAGGCCAAGACTCTGCCACCCCCACTGCGTCCATTGCTGGCTGCAATGTTGCCTTTCACTTGGCGTTTTGCTGCTTTGGCTGTTGTGGCAAGTTGCTTGTTGCAAGTTGCAAATGTAACTGGCTCGGCTGGCTGGCTGGCTGGCTGGCAGGCAAGCAAGCAGTCATTCATCAGGTTACTACGCTCGGCGCCCGACAGCCATCCAATTAAGCTATAAAAATCTTAATTTAATTATTTGCCACACGAACAAAGCCAGAACACACATTCAACACACACTCACACACACTCACACACGCACACAACATTTGCCATTCACATTTGCAGTCGTAGTCGCAGTCGTAGTCGCAGTCGCATTCACATTCGTATTTGATGCAGTGCACCAATGTCGTCGACAACGGAGCAGGCGACGGAGACGTATACGACGATTTATGGTGGCCAGTTTTTCTTCATTTGATGGTGGCACGCGGAACCGGGAGCGGGCTTGGGGGGTTGGCGGGCATACAAGCGGCATGCATTTTTCATGAATTAGTTCATATAAAAGTCAAATGCACAAAACGTACGCTTGCAACTTTGCAGCCAGCAAGGGGCAGGCACAGCCAGGAGTCAGTAGAATTTTTGACTGTGGACGAAGAGTTAACTCGAGCGAGGGGTAGTTGTTTAAGGGGCTGCACATAAACAGATTTGTGGCCGCAAAACAAAACATGCCAAAAAATAAACCTTAACTAGAAAATGTAAAGCAAGCGACAGGCAGATACCCTGCTGAGGGTCAAGATGGAAATATTGAGCTCAGATATAGCTCATGGTTCACTTTTGTACCAACCATTTCATGCAGCCATTAAAAATGGTTAAGAAAGTGTATTATGATTTTGTGTTAGTGTATGCAACAGTCAGATGGTGCATTTCCGACGCCATAAAGTATATATATTCTTGATTAGTCTGCGTGAATGTTTCGATTGAACTATCTACATAAGCAAGGGACTTCAAATTTGACACGTAGGTCCTTATATTGCCCACGCAGATTAAGTTAATTCAAATTATTAAAAGTATCGATAAGTATCGATTTTCTGATTGTGTTTCTTTCCACATACCTGGGAGCCATTAAAAGCTAGAGACACCATTATATTAATTAAATATAATTAGTCTTGAAATGCGTAAAAGACAGATTGGCAGGAGTTTTAGTTTGCTAAATAATTAATCATAATAACTAGGTTAATACCTAGTCTCACGCCTGGAAATTCAAAATCTAAGCTCTGCAATGATATATGTCAACCTCAGAAGTATTTGCCTATTTGTATAGCTCCAACTGTGCGATTCGATTTAGTTACTCAGAAGTTGATGTGCCCACTTTTAATCAATTTAAGGACATAATAGTGCAGGGTATAAGGGCTTACGTTGCCATTTATGTTCCTATGTGGATATTTGAAAGGAGTTTGCTGCAAATCCGCATAGCTAAGTATGCGAAGTTGTGCGTCTCTCTTGTTGATTTTCGCTGCATAATTAATGAAATCAAAGCATTTGGCGGCGCTTCGGCTCCTCCGCCTGCGCAATCTACAATCTGCTTTAACTTCAAGTCCAGAGGCCGAGTCCAACTTCACATTCGCTTCTGTTTCTGACTATTGCTCTCTGGCTCTGGCTCTGGCTTTTTTGATGTGTATTGTGGGTCGGGCAGATAAATTAGATGCATGAGAGGCCGAGGCCAGAGATAATACGCCCGATTATGCGAAAGCGTGCCGACCTCTACAGTCTCTTGGCCGTTTCTAACATGGCCAACAGAATCAAAATCAAAATTAAAGGCAACGGCAACGGCAATAGCTTCCATGCGAGGAATGCAGTCGAAAGCTCTTTTGGGGGAAGGCTCTGCCTCAGCTCAAGGCCCAGTCAGCAGGATAAAACGAGTCTTTTCATCTTGAAATTGTTGTTGTTGTTGATGTTGTTGATGTTTTTCTTGTTTTCATGGCTTCTGGTGTGGGTTGGGTCTGGGCGCTTGATACAAAAGAGGCAACAGAGAGAGGGCGGGAAAAGTAGAGCATAAGAGAGAGAGAGGGTTGCGAAGTGGAGTTGGTTGGCTTAACGTGCTGGCAAAATGACCAAGAGGAACAAGAAAACAACAACAATAACAACAACAATTGGCACGGCACATTGAACAGGTTAAAATATAATAAGTCCATAGGCTCCAAAGTGTGTGTGTGTCGATTTTTTTTCTTATTGAACACTGAAACTGGCAAGCAACAAAAAGAACAGTTATTTATTTTTAATAGAAAATGGATGAACCAGCTGAAAATCAGCAAAAGAAACGTGAAAATAGGCTAAGCAAATTAAATGGCAATGGATTAGGATTTGGGAAATGAAACAAGTAAGAGGCTCTAGTCGAGAGCTCCCGACTAGGGGATACCCTGAACCCTCTTCTTCCAACATCAAATGCATATACATATATATTCTATTTTAGAAGCTATATGTGAAGTTTGGTGACTCTAGCTCTTATTATTTAATTTACCAAATTAACCGATATCGACTTTTATCGATCGCTTGGAAACGGAGTAAGTTATCGATTATCGGAAACAAACTCGATCTGCGCAGGCACTAGGAGCATCTACATCTCATTTCAAGTCTCTAGCTCTTATAGGTTCTGAGATCCTTGCGTTCATACATACGGACGGACGGACGGACAGACAGACGGACACGGCTAGATCGACTCCGCTATTGATGCTGATCAAGAATATATATACTTTATGGGGTCGGAGAAGCTTCCTTCTGCCTGTTACATACATTTGGATTTTGTACAAATACAATATACCCTTATACCCATTTTTGATGGGTTCAGAGTATAATCATCGAAAAAGTTTCGATTTTCGCACCGACCTCGATTTTGAAAAAAAAAAACGTGATGATTTGGAAGGTCATATCTCCGCGCGGAGTTATGTCGTTTTGGAACGTTATATCTCCGCGCGGAGTTATGTCGTTTTGGAACGTCATATCTCCGCGCGGAGTTATGTCGTTTTGGAACGTCATATCTCCGCGCGGAGTAATGTCATTTTGGAACGTCATATCTCCGCACGGAGCTATCACCCGAGAGCTATTACCCGGGGTAGGTTCGAATATCAAAAGTTTTTTGAATATTTTTTTGAAAATCTCGGGTAAATATAATCTGATTTTAAAATATTATACCTTTTTGAATTAGTACGGATCCCTACTATCATATGGCATTCAAAGAAATTAAAAATTGATGGGTTGGAAAAAGTTGTTGACCAAAAAACGTTTCGTGTGTATAATCAACCTTTTTTGTTTATTTTTTTAGACTATCTCAGCCAAGTAATCTCGGAGTCGAAGCATACGCCAACCCATACAAGAGACCTCCCTGAGAGGTCTGTAGTCAGAAGGCTCAAGAAAAGATCCTTTAGAGACCTCCTCCAACTACGACACAGGAGCAGCCCCACAGCCCACCGACTACCTACGTGACGGTGCAGCCTTACGCAAAGAAGACAGCTTTGACGTTTGTCCACGATAACGCCTGAGAAGCCACCTAAGTTAACGGTTTTGTGATAAAAATGTATGCTATTTTTTTATTCAATACAATAAACATATATAAGTTAAAAAAAAACAAACTTTTTTAACGATTTTTTTTTAACTCTCGGGAAAATATATCCTGTTTTTGAAATGTTATACTTTTTGGAATTCGTACGAATCTCTACTATCATACGGCATTCAAACAAATTAAAAATTGATGGGTTGAAATAAGTTGTTGACCAAAAAACGTTTCGTTTGTAAAAGCAACCTTTTTTGATAATTTTTTTTAGACTATCTCGGCCAAATAATCTCAGATTTTGGAATTTTATACTATTTCTGACTCGTAAGGATCAGTACTATCGATTGGCATCAGAAAAATAAAAATCTAAATTTTGAGCCAAATCGACCAAAATGCAAGGGGTAACATCACGTTTTTTTCCAAAATCGGGGTAGGTTCGAATATCTCAACTTGTTTGACGATTTTTTTTTTAAATCTCGGGTTAATATAATCTCATTTTAAAATGTTATACCTTTTTGAATGCGTACGGATCCCTACTATCATATGGCATTCATTAAAAAAAAGTTGTTGGCCAAAGAACGTTTCGCTAGCAAAGTCCACCATCTCCGCGCGGAGTTATGTCGTTTTGGAACGTCATATCTCCCGCGAGGAGTTATGTCGTTTTGGAACGTCATATCTCCGCGCGGAGTTATGTCGTTTTGGAACGTCATATCTTGAAAAAAAAAACGCACAAAAATGAACATTTTTCTTTGTAAAGTAGACTTTAGAAGTAATAAGCAAAACAACTGTACGATAGTATTCTGAATATTTGCAGCATTTGGAATATTTAAAAAGAATTAACTAACTTACTCCTTTATTGCAAAAAGAGTTAATGCGAAGAAACAACAATGACGCCTTTTTGCCTATCTTAAAGAATACATAGTGCCTTAATAAGAAATAAGAAGCCATATTTTTGGGTCTTTTGAACATTTTTAAAGAGATCGGGGGCATAATACTGAGGTATATAACCTTGGCATGTTTAAGCTACCTCGGCTTTTTTCAACTTTATTAATGAAATCCCCAAACTGAATGGAAATGGAAAATATAAAATATAGCTTCTTACCTGACAATTGCACTTCACAGATGCCAATTGTTCACAAAAGACGTCTGTTGCTGCTGTTGTCTTTGCTGCAAAGAGAACAGGAAAAGCAAAAAAAATAAGTGGTTAGATTTAAAAATATCTTTTTTCTTTCGTTCTTAAAGTCGTCGTCAGAAAACAACATACAATTTAACATTATAAAATAATCATGTATGCTCCAGTCGAAAGTAGCCGACTAGCTGTTACCCTGCTTCAAGTGTCGCGCTGCCGTAAAAAACTATCGAACATATTTTTATAGGTTGTTGTGGGAGAACCCACATATCAACTTTGATTTCACTAGCTCTTAAATTCTACCAGTTGTGTTGGGAAAGCCTTGTTAATAAATAGAAAGTTCTCGATTTTACGAAATTGAGCGATAGTAAAATATATAAACGCTTTTATTCTTCAAATTTCACGTCTTCAGCCCTTATAATCTTCAAGATTAAGACGAATAGACAGACAAACAAACATGGCCGGGTATCTCTGCTCATCTCTTTCCGTCCAAGGCCGTTATAGCCTTTTTTCTTACCCATTTTAAGTGGCTACAGGATATAAAAAGTAAACAAGAGAAACAAAATGGAATAGAAAAAATGTACTCTAAAGTCGGCTTTTGGCTTTAGCTTTACCTCAAAGCTCATTAATTTTATTCGGCTTTTGCGGTGGCTACTGGGAAGCTGCTACCGCCAAGCTTCAAGTGTGCGACTCCAAAAATTGAAAAAAAGGGAGATATACAGCACAGTCGCACAGTCACACACACACAATGTGTTTCAGTTGGCTATTTGCATGCAAAAAGCCAAAGTCAAGTGGCAACAGGCCACCGAGGCCGGAGCTAAGCCCAGTTCCAATCGCAGTCCCAATTCCAAGCGTTGGCCCACAGCTTTGGTCTGCAACACTCGACACAAGTCGGGCGCAGAGCCAGCTCCCTGGCCCGACAGCAGTTGCCAGTTGCCAGGTGAGAAAACAGAAATGCGGTTCAAGGTTTTTTGGGTGTGTGTCGCCGAGGGTGTTTGTGTGTGTGTGTGTGCTGCGGGCGCAAAAGTGAAAGTGAATTATTAAAAACAATTGCAATTGGCGCTGATAAGTGCACTCACTGGCTCGCCGAAGGGGGTTGAAGGAGTTGCTGGTTGCCGTTGTGTGGTTGTAAGCCCCCAACCAGGCCATGCTCGAGTGCTTTTTGTGTTTGTCGCCATTGCACGCTTCAAGCGGGCGGTGCCCCACACAAAAAACTGGCACAAGCCGCATGCCGAATGTCAATAACTGGCCTTATTAAAGGCAGAAATCGGCTATTGGGTGACAGCTGGTATTCGTTTGATAAACTGGCGGGGAAGACGGCCACAAAGTGTATTTGTTATTAATAAGATCTTTTAATTGACAGAAAAATTTCGGAAATATAATATTATAATAAACTATTATAATTATAATAATATTGTTGTTATATCTATCTTAAATTTTAAGATGAAGAAAATTGGTTCAAAATGGTTGCAGTTAAATTTGTTGTTCACATTCCGAGCTTGTTTTCAAATATCTGGGTACACAAATGAGTTCTTAGCTGGACAAAAGTTTAAGCTTAGTCCGATTAGCTGCAAAATTATGTTCATAGTTGTCTGAAACATTTTGCAACACTGAAAGAAACATATACAATCCCTGCAAAAATATTCTTCACTATTGAAAGCTTTCTGATATTCGACCGGGTCAAACGAACCTGAAACCCATATTGGGTCAATGAAAATATTGAAAATTTGCTGCACAACCATATTTTGTTAAGGCCTAATGATATTGTATACACTTTAGGACAAAAATCTGATGTGGACTCTAAGGTTATGCGTTTTTGTCAAATTGACATTTATTGATTTGTTGTTTGACCAGACAACAAGCATGTACATATTGTATTATTTATTGTGGTACAAACGTATCAAAGAAATTAAAATAAATTCGTATTTTCAGCAAATTCTCAAGTCCTTTTTGTGGTTTGCCTTTGCTTTTCTTGGCCAACTGAGCTGAACGATTTTGTTTTTGATTAATGTCTGTGCCAAGTGCAGCTGTAGTTCAGCAGCTTTCAGTACTGCCATAGCCAGAGCTGCCGTCCCGTTCCAATAATCCGGCATAGAATTACGATATGCTTGCACAAGGCCCCGTTTCTAGACCCAACAGCTCCCAATTCCAATCCCAATCCCAATCCCACTTCCGTTCCCGTCCCAGTTCTCAATGCATGCAAATGTCAGTCAGCTGGAGACTGAAAATTGCTTGAATGAGGATGCGGATGCTCAGTTTCAGTGTTGGTGAGTGTCGAGTGTTGACTGTGGCTCGGCACTCGACATTGCTCATACGCAGCGTTTGCCTCAAGCCAAATGAAGTTACTTGCGGTTGCTGTTTTAGTTTTTAAACAGTTTTTTACTGCTGCAGCTGCAGTTGTTGATGCTGCTGTCAGACATCGTTTTTATATACATATGTGTGCGAGAGAGACTTGATTTATGTCGCTTTATTTCATTTTAATTGAAAAACTTGCAAACTGAGCGACCAAAGCCAAGTGGAATTTACGCCCAGCCAACGCACAAAAGAACAAATATAATTAAAATGGCATTTAAAATGTTTTTGGCTACCGGCAGTAGCAACAGCAACAGCAGCAACAGCAACAGTTACAATAGCAGCAGCAAAAGCAAATATGCAAGCTCCGAATATATGTATTGGTATAAAAAAGTAAATAAATTACTAAACAAAAGCACAAATGTAAATAAAATGACTTTATTAAAAAGCTGGGCGCACCAACAACAACACGAACGGAAAGAGAGAGAGAGAGAGAGAGAGAGAGAGAGAGAGAGAGAGCGAGAGGAGCAAGCGAGGGAGAGAGAGAGAGAAAAGGATAGGCGTGTTTATAAACTTTCAGTGTGCAAATAATAAAGACATTCGCAAGCCCCATGGCTGGGCTGGGCGGGGCGTAGTAGGTAAAAGTAAATCTGCCTGACAGTGCAACAACCGACCCACAGCTAACCAAAATAAAGGCAACAACATGCCCCCTTTTCACCCTGCCCCCACAGCGCCTAGCCATGGTCGACCTTTTTTTTGCCTACAAATGCAAATGACGCACGCGAAGCTGCTTTTGGCTTTGCCATCGAGTAGAATAAAAAAATACTATTTAAAATATATGATAAATAAATCTATGCAAAATTATTGTGTGTGTGCACAGTGGTACCAAAACAACGCGCAACTGGCAACTGACAACTGGCAACTGGCAACAGCTGCAGCTGCAGACACGACAGCGAAGAGCAAACATCAGATATTGTATGCAAAGATTGAAGCAAATGCGAGACACAAATTTTAGCAGAGCAGACAGTTGGTGACGGAGTTGCCAGACTGTTGCATTCTTATCTATATTTTGTATACATTAAATAAAATTAGAAGCAGTTTTACATGAATGCGACGGCTGCTTAACTATGCATACCCTGTAAATCTCGTACGAGTTGTCCTTAAGCATGCCGTCTTCGGGATTATAAGAGTCCTAACCATGTATACTTATTGTAAAAACAGGTTAAGTCTTTAAGGGTATGCTCTGTACATATTCTGCTTATTTTCACTGTGCGGTATACTCTACGACTTATTGCGTGGTATTTTATAGTCGAGCAGTTTGCTCAACAGTTCCTCTTATTTGGTTGTAACTAACGACCCGTTTCGACACAACTTACAAATGCACTGCTACAAAATGTCGAGCCGACAAACAGACACAAACACTTGGCATTACCGCAGCGCTGCGGCAACAACAATATCAACAACAACAACGACAGCAACAGCAGCGGCAGCAGCAGAAAAAACTGCCGCCAACAACGTAAATCATGCGACCAGCATAAAATGGTAACAGAAACAACAAGAACTAACTCGACAACCAGCACGAAAAACGCCAACACAAAACGGTAAGAGCAACAACAGCAACAACAATTGCAACAGCAACAACAGCAGCAGCGGCAACAATAACAGTCAACGCTAACAAAAAAGTGAAATTAAATAACAATAACAAGGTTAGCTGTGTTTTTATGTTGCTGCTGCTGCTGTTGCGATAACGTCGCCAATATGCGATGTTTGCCCAGCGAGTGCAATAGCAACAACAACGACAAGAAAATATTTCGAATGTGCAGCCGCAAATTGAGTGTTTTTATTGCATTAACATAAATAAATTAGAATGCCAACGCGCGCGCGCGCTCATGTTGCTGACTCACTAGTTGGACAGCAGCAGCAGCAACCAGCAACCAGCAGCAGCAGCAGCAACCAGCAACCAGCAGCAGCAGCAGTAACAACATGCAAAAGTTGGACCGGCAGCAGCAGCACCAACAACAGCTGACGCGTGTTGGCTGTCAAGGCAGTGTGTGTAGGTGTGTTTCTGTGTGTATTTCTCCCTTTCTCTACCCTCTCCCCCCACGCTACAACCGGCAGCGCAACTTGCAATGTCAGCAACATGCGCATATTGCCGCCAACGCCTGAGAGACAAATGTGTTGCTGTTGATGCTTCTGCTCCTACTGCGACGCTGCTTCATAGCACGTATGCTGCATGTTGCTGTTGCGTGTCCTTCGCAACACAGCAATAAGAGCAAGTGGCCACGTGCGGCCATCAAGTGATTTGCTGGCAAATCATAAGCAAATTCTATATGTTAACCTTTGGGCTAAAGATTTTGCTGCCAGTGTCATTAGCCAGGGGCTGTCAAAAATGTTACTGCTTAAACAGTGTAACATGTAAGCCAATGTTAACTGGAAGCGGACCACAAAGTTAAAAGTCAAAGTCATGTGTTGCCGACGTCGAGTCGTTATGTTTGATATGCCTGCGAATATCGCATTGACAGTCGTTGACTGCCTTTGGCTGTGGTCTGCTGTTAGGGTATCGCCTGGAAATTGTTCGCCTTTGTGGGCAACTGTCAACAACAGCAACAGCAGCAGCAGAGACAATGGCAACTATAATGGCAAAAACTTGCGTCAGCGGCCTGTAGCGCTGGCCAGCGTTGTCAGGGAGTGTCAATAAAATGAAATTAAAAACTTTAAATAACAGTGAGCGAACGGACCGGCCAAG